GAGGGTAATAATTCAATAAATTCGATAATTTCAGTTACTAAACATAGAAAAAATAATAGTAGTGTTATGAAATGGCACACACTTTCTCGCACTAGTCTAATCTCTTTAGTCTAGACTGGCTTTTCGCTTATGCCTTCTCAGCTGCCATATTTTGCCGCCCAAAAGACATTTCTTCACATTTTCTCAATATTTCGTCTCCCTAATAGTAGAACTGAAACATGACTTTAAGACTATTACAGAAAAAAAAAAGGGCCGACTTAGAGGACCGAGGTGGTTAATAGGCTTGGGTGCATGGTGGAAATACATGACTGAGTTCCCCTGGCGCACCGATTTTTGCTCGCTCTGCGCAACACCAGTTTGCGTCATCAACTACGTGACCATAGCACGGGCACTTCGTTTGAAAAGCCAGTCCAGGGTGGCCGAGGAGGTTAACATCGACTCAGCGCTTCGGTGCGAAGGGTCGCGGATCCGAGTTCCGCCTTGGGTATACTGTTTCTCTCTTATTTCTCATATATGTGTTGCAGAAAACTATTGAGTATTCGCGAAACGTTTTTGAAAATCATTGGAAGTACTTTTACTCACAAATGCTGTATGTGATTTTCGAATTTTCAACTTTTTAACAATTTTCTTATTGTTTTCATAAAACGTATCTCTCGTCAAATCAATTGTTATCTGTTTGTTTATCTGTATGAACCGATTTTTCTAAACGTTTACTGACTCTATCAACATTAAATTTAAATACATTATATACTACCTATAGGATGAACTTAGACTTTGTTTTAACGTATCCCTAACGGTTCTGAAAATTATTTTTTTCTCGCCCTTGCGAATGTATTTGTAAGAAGAGAAAGGTATGTGATCGTGCGTCGAAAAACGGCGAGTTTTCAGCAGAATCATTGCCGAGCACTAATTATGAAAAAGTGTATAAATCCACTTGCTAAATAAAAAAGTCCTCTACCGCGTGGTGTAGCCAGAATCTATGTTTTGTGAGTCCTTAATGCCGAAAACTCGATTGACGGAAAACGTCTGTCCGTCCGTCTGTCTGTCCGTCTGTCTGTCCGTCTGTCTGTCCGTCTGTCTGTCCGTCTGTCTGTCCGTCTGTGTGTCCGTCTCAATGTCCGTCTGTCTGTCCGTCTGTCTGTCCGTCTGTCCGTCTGTCTGTCCGTCCGACTGCCTGTCCGTCTTTCCGTCTGTGGTCATCGCTGGCGTCTAAACCGTTCAGCCGATTTTCTCCAAAATTTATATTTGCAATTGATTATATATTACTATTGACGCGACAAGGGCTTCCTTCAAGGTCGAGCCTCCAGAGGGAGGGGTCGAATGCCGCCCTCGTGCCGTCTTGGTCGACCCAAAGGCGTATCTAGTCATTCTGCCGCCCATGGTAAAAGTAGAATTTGCACCCCAGTCAGGATACTTCAAATTAGGGTTGTTATTTGTTTTAGCGAGTATACACTAAATAGCGTCCTTTGTGTGTGGGGCCCGTGGCACGTGCCATGTCTGCCACACTGATGGTACGCTTCTGCTGTGGCAGCTCCGGAAAGGGATCTCGGAGTAGCCCGGGGCGTGCCTGCGTTAAACGATGTGATTCGTTGACCGCGGGCCGGCTGTAGACTCACTATATAATACGATTTATTTAGACGTGCACATGACACATAATACCTGTTACGGTTTCATCCAATCGAGAGCTTAACGTCGCTACAGTTGCGTCTCTATGGGAACGTTCAATCTCCCGATTGGATGAAACCGCGAACAGCTGATTCATTTCAAATGTACGGTTAAATAAATCCTTGTATAGATCGCGACCGCCGTGAAAGGCGCCGTGTGGCTAGGTAAATTGGCCACGGTCGAAAAGACAATCCCTTGCACGAGCGACGGCGGTCATCCGAGAAAATTGAAAACTAGGGGAACTAATTTTTACACAGAAACTATAATGTAGATTTGAGTTAGTGTTTAATAGCGATCACTCTCATACAGGCATCAAAAAATCACACTCGCACTTAAGTAAATTAAACTCATTTTTGTTAAATTCAAAAATATTTTTTGAGTAGCAGCGTGATGTACTTTTTATTGGCATAAATGCCTCCTATTTTCAGGCTAGCTTGGCATCGTAACAAAAAAAACACATGAGAGGGAGGTAAGTTAGGCGGACCCCGATTGCCCACATATCGGCCGAACACTAGATAGGATAGGAGGGCGGCAACTCGCAATATACACACATGAGCTCACCCAGAAAATTTTACATATATAGAAACCCGATGTTCGAAAAGGTATATTCCATGGTGATAATCCATTTATTCATTAAATGCTGAAGAATATTTTTTTTTAATTTCGACAGATTTTATAAATATTCAGTAGTTTGCTTAGCTATTTGTGAGGAATGGACTCAAACGCCTAGCTGTAATTAATATAACAGAGTGGAGATTTCATTTCTTTGTTTGAGCTTGCTTTAAGACAACAGAATCAATTAAACTTGATGTTTACATCCCATAGCCCCTTAATGCAACTTTTCTGTTCTTCTTCAAATATATTATTATTTGCACAGTGGTGGTAGATTATTTCACAGGATTATTGGTTATATTATTATTTTTATTATTATTGTTGTTATTATTAATAGTAATAATAATAATAATAATAATAATAATAATAATAATAATAATAATAATAATAGTACAACTCCACTTTCCTTTCTTTATAAAAAGCTTGCACGTTATTTTATGAATGTATTTTTATGTAATGTATTTACATTTGTATTTGCGAATGTCTTGTTCCCAACACTTTAATCATGTTTTTCCAAAAACTATCTATTTTGTTCACTTTTGGGGCACCAATTTTTTTTAAGTTCCTAAATTTATCAATATTACTGTTGCGCCTGTGTCCACTAAACATTGTATCTTCTGTCTGCCAAACGGCAAGTCTACCAATAACCTACTTTATCATTTATTATTAAGCATCTGGTTTAGTATATCCACTTGCATTTTTTCCTCTTCCCGTTCCTTTCTCTTTTAATCTTGTGGAATTTATTTTACTTTTTCCATTAATCAAAAACATAACGAATATTTAATACATATTAAATATTTTAATTGGGGGAAATATTTATACAATAAATATTTTTAATGAGGGAAAATAAAAAAAGAACGTATATTTCCTTTTTCATGCAGATTCACATCCGTCTTTTCAAGTATGAAGTCTCCATGTTATAAAAAATTTCCAACCGGTGATTTTCTATTCCAGTAAGCCGAGCCTTAAATTGCATTGTCTTGACGTCAAATAAGGACGGAAGATGAATATCACCTATACGACTCATTGCAATTGTCTCCTTGTTTTACCCGGCAAGCTTTCCTAACATGCCCTAATTTACAACACCGATAACAATTCTACAGTTTTCTCTTAGTCATGTGAACACACACAGTATTTACATGCAAACTTGATTTTTCTAGCGTTTCTATTTTTACTTCCTCGCTACGCAATAGAGAGAAAGTTATGTAATGCTACGCGAAATAACGGAAAAACTCTTAATACAGGGCCCTGGTAACGAAAAGTGGATCAATCCAACTGCTAAATTTAGAAAAAATCCTCTAACACGTGCTGTAGTCAGAATCCATATTTTGTGGGACCTTGATACCGAAAAATCGAATGACGACAAAACGTCTGTCTGTCCGTCCGTCCGTCCCCCGTCCGTCCGTCCCCCGTCCGTCCGTCCGTCCCCCGTCCGTCCGTCCCCCGTCCGTCCGTCCCCCGTCCGTCCGTCCCCCGTCCGTTCGTCCCCCGTCCGTCTCTGAACAACGCTAGCGGCGAAACCAGACGAATTTTCTCCAAAATTTATATTCCTCAATCGATCTGGCCGATGTCGCAGCTCCTTGAATTTGAAATCGATATTTTATTTTTTTTAGGGCGAGGGTACTTAACATGAAGCCCTTGGGACATTTTCAAAAAATGTCTCATCTTTCTTATTAAATTTTGTTGTTGTATAGTGAAAAGTACGTTTAAGAAAATGGTGCAGGTGTCCTGATCGTTAAAAATCCTGCTTTTTCGAAAATAGCGAAAGTTCTAAATTTCTTCGGAGTCTTCCTACAACTAAAATATTAAAGATAGAGATTTTTCCCTTAATAAAATCTGTTGTTTAAAAATAGATTTTGAAACAAGGTCATGTACAATTTTTAGAAAATGTGTGTGCTTTTCGCGTAATGTTGGGTAAAAATGCAGTCGAGAAAGTACGTGCAGTTTTAGCAGCACGATAAACTCATTTCTGTTGCTAGCACTGTCCTTCTTGAGAAATTTTCCTTTTATAAGACCTCTCTCCCTGCCTCTCGGCGTACTCTTATCTACGGCGACACCATCCGTACATGATCTGCCTTTCCATCACCTCTGACACGCGGTTTCCCGCTGCCCTTTCCCGCAATATACTTTGTACACCTGTTTATTACTTGTAATTTGCTGTGACGTGCCCAGGTGACCTCATATGTCGCCGCTATTCCTTCCACTTCAAGGATCGGGTTACTGTTCTTTAATATCTCAAACATAAACTTTCCCTCCAGTATATGTAAAATTATCACAACTCTAATCAATGATTCCGCAATGACTTCTCACTCTTTTGCGTTTTGCATTTGAATTCTCATTTTTGCGCTAAAGCAATTAATTCTGTGACCTATTCTGCATGTGACTGTCGTCTTTCTACACAGAAAAAAATGACTACCTGGCCACCACAATATGAGTTTTTTCGTCATGTTTATTCAGTGCACTTTTAATTTCCGCCCACGTTAACTTTGTAGTTTCCCGACCAGCACATGACTTTTTTTTTAATAATTTAGTCGTCTCACTGCCCGCATACCTCAAAAATGCTGCTCTCTTCTTGTCCTCGTTTTCGACTCCAGTATACTCCCACAGCTGTGCTAAACTGTCCACATAATCTAACCAGTTCTCTTTGTGGGAATGAAATATAGAGAAGTGCAAAGGCATGCGTTCGCACATTGCTGGGCAAACCCATCCCAATATTTCAAACAATGCCTATTAATGTTTCTCCTGTTGCGCAGCTTGCTGCTGTTGGTATTTTCCTTGCTGCGCCGCTTGCTGTTGATGAAACTGCAACTGTTGTTGTTGCCATTGTTGCATCTGCTACTGATGCGTCGCCTGTTGTTGCTGCAGTAACTGATGTTTTTGTTGCTGAAGTCATTACAAAATTTTCCCCCATTCCGTTGCACTTCTTACATTCGTAAATTTTCTTTCGTCGCCTGTTGTTATGTTCATAAATAAACAGATGTAACAGATAACAAAAGTTTATTTTTTGTCGTTTTACAGTAATCAAAATCCAATTCGTACCCGATTCAAACCATTCTACCATTCACATAGGGGAAAATACCACTTTCGTCTATTTAGTAGATGTTCCAATTCGCAGCACTGTTCACCAACACTTCAAAAATTCAATGTAATCAAACACAGTTCGATTGATTGATTAATGTTTCCGGGCGCGCCAATTGCTAAGGTAAATAGTCCCGTACGTGTAGTGCACGTTTTAATCGTCTAATGTGGTGGGGATATTCCCCAGCTGGGTATAAAGATCCGTCGCCGACCAACATCGCATTGCGAGGTTTCTCTCAACCAGGTATCTACCACCAGCGGAGTACCACCCCAGACGAGACAGGCTCTACGCTTTCGACTGGTCTCCCGTGGTAGTGTCGGACATGTATGTGCTTGGGACATGTATGTGCGTGTACGTAAGGGGTAATGATAGGACAAGGACGAGGAAGGAAAAATCGCGGGTGGTCCGTGGCCCTCTTGTTAGGGTACTGTTTCGGCATTCCCCTCGTGTCGATCGGAAAACTATCGATCAGAGCAGCCGACTGCTGAAATTCTCCACCAGACAGCATCAGAATTTGACCAAGCTATGCAGCTAGTCGAAACTCCTGCCACCGTCAGGACTCGAATCCTAGGACCTCTCGGCCTGAGGCATTGCAGAACCACCAATTGATGCCCTGAGTCACCTACGCCGGCAGGCTCAGTTCGACGTAGGCAGTGTGACTCCAATGAAGAATTCTCTCGTCACAACCTAGCCGACCGACTGCCGTGCTGCTCCCGTCTTATGTACCCTGCTCCCGAAAACTCATTGTTTTAGGTATGGGTTCGTTTGCCGCAACTAACTTCTCTATTAATGCTCTTGTTTCTTGCCGGTTGTTTGCCGCTTTTCACTACTGTCCACGCGTCCTCACGCGTCCATAACAATCTAGGTTACAGTGACCACGATGCACACATTCTTACAATTACTAATAACTTGAACAATAACACAATAAATAATACAAGCTTGTGTTGATTGTTTACTACAGCTAAAATAGATTTACTTACGGGCTATTTGATGGAAGAATCATGGGACGCTATTTATAACGCTGTTGACCCAAAGGAAAAATATAACTTATTTTTCTCAAAGCATTTCTTCCACATTAATTAATGTATTCCTCTTGAAATCAGAAATTTAAACCTTGCATGGGATAGCTATACTTACAAAGTACAAGGGATTTGAACGTGTGAAAACAAACGTATCCTTTACTACATTTCTAAACATCATAATGTAACACTCGGTTTCCATGTCCACTTCCAAAAATACAAACTTCCGAAAATATGAATACCTAAGAAAAGTAATAGCACATGCAAAAATAATTTAAAATGATCAGGATTATTTAAACGCTAATAACAAAACTAAAGCAATGTGGAATGTCGCCAAATATCACGACCACATTATCTTGATATTACGTACAGAATGATGTGTTAAAGGATAATGACAGAGGGATGAGCTATCCGACAAACGTTCCAGGTCTCAACCAACAATTTGAAAAAAAGTGCGTTTGATCTCATGACAAACTAAAACCGAAATCTGTATCACAGGTTTTCCTAGAAAAATTTTTACGCGATTTTTCTTTCCGAAGCATATTCCAGTAAAATCCTCCGAATAGTCAGTAAACTAAAAAATAAATATTCGTTTGTTTTAGATGAATTTCCGAATTATTTATTACAAAATTGTGCGCGCCTACCTTATACCCTCGTGATCTCATCCTTTCAATGCTCTATTATGAACGAGAATGTAACTTGTAATTTCAAAACAGCAAACATTAAGCCATTTTTTTAAGGAAATTGATAATTGTTAGCCATTTTCTCTACTAGTGGTTTCTCAAAAATATTAGATAAGCTCTTTTATACACGAATGGAAACTGTTCTCGAGAAAAACGAAGCGAATAGTAAAAAACAGTTGAGAAATAACCACGAAACAACGAGCAGCACATAATTTGCCAATATTAGCGCATCGATTTCAGAGCTCGCCGCCGCTCGCGGTGATCCATCCAGCCGCTTCGTGCCGTATCCCTTTGCACGGCGATAAGCATCCCGGTCATTGCTGTTTTCGTAGATTCTCGGCTGTGAAACGCACCATTACGACGTAGTAGGAATTTGTGCGTCCTGATTGAGTGTTTTTAGTAGGCTTGTTAGTGTTTCGGGGTTTTTTGATTGCCATGCACTGTGAAGGAAAGTAGAGATATCGTATTTTAGCTGAAACAAAAACTAATTCGTTTACTTACATTGCAAGAGAAGCTTTTTAATTATTGAAAATATTTGCTTTTGATCGTGAAATATTTTTTTCTAGAAATTTATATGCTATTTTGGATACCACTATTTTTAATTTCTGGAAGATTTAATTTTGTTTTAATAGAATTTGGAACATTTAAAGACAAATCTCCTTGAACATTGGTAAAATATTTGAAAGAAGAAAATTTTAACTGCGTATTTAAGAAACTTTCCCCTGTTGCTTTATTAATATGCACTATACCAGCTTCAATAGCATACGTAGAAGATTTTCTGCTTTAAAAATAATTCGTAATTATAAAAGGGAAAAACAAAGAGTGAATGTGCAGTTTGTCTTTTTTATCAAATGAGAGCTCTTGGATAGGTAAAAAGTTAACTTCCACTATTAAAGAAATGTATTTATACTAAATACAGATCATGCAAACGTTTCGAGGTGTTTAACTCACCCTCAGTGCTCCACTGTGGCTGCACACAGGAGCATTATGGATTAGGTTAACACCTCGAAAAATGTATGCGTCATCTGTACATAATTTTTTTTTAATTGTGGAAGATAATTTATTTTTGCCTATCCATATGGGTTTCTATAAGATTTCTGCGGTAACTAAAGAGTTTATTAAAGAACGTTTAGAACGGTTTTAAAACAACTCATGGATTTCGTAGAAAAAAAGGTGAAATTATTGAAAATTCATTCACACATTTGCCATTGCAACAGAACGACTTAACTTTAAATATTTAGGATGGAAGGACGTTTAGGAAACTTTACACGTATTTATCTTATAAATTCATGAATGTCAATACGTTAACATGACAGCTTCCAAACGTCATGCATTAATTTAGAAAATAAATTACACACACTTTTATGAGTTTAAATCATTTAGAATCTAAATGTATGTGTATATTCAAATCGGTGTACAGATGAGAAGCAATGTCTAGCGTTCTTTCCTATTTCGTCTGTATTTGAAAGTTCAACAATTTCTTGTTTATTAAAGTCTGGCAGAGCCGTCGATAAGAGCTCTCATGCTTTCGAGAGGGATCTCAGCACTGATTAACTTATATGTTAAGACAAGATACGACAGTGTAACTCCAGCTGTATACCTCGATTTATTTTAAATGACCGATGAAATTAGGTTATTTACACCTCCTGCCTTAAAAACGAATCTTTTTAACAGAGGTGAGCACACTTCGGAGATCACGAGCCCCGTTGAGGAGGGCGTTCTCGAATTAGTTCAAAAGATTAATTTTATTAGGCAATTAAAAAATAATGCAATGATGATATAATATCATCGGCCACTTTTAAAAAATCCAAGTATAGTTCGTGGGCGCCGTGTACGAAACTTCTAATCGTGTAACAATGTTTTTTACTCAACGTCTCAAGTCGTGGGATCGGCTCGTCATTGTGTGGAACATACTTTCGATGCATGGATTGCTGTCATTGTAGCGACTGCTCAGTCGGCTGTAAGCCCATGTCGAATTAATTCCGCGTAAGGGGTGTCCTTCCTTGCAGAACCATCATGAATCGTAATGACTCCGAATACCAAACAAATTTAAAATAACTATTTCATTGTAGATATATTGAATTGAATAAAATCAAGGGAGCTGAAGAGATTTATTTTAATGAGAAAATATCTCAAAAATGAACTTAGTTTTTAGCATTTAAAAAACGGAACAACCTACGATATTGCAACTCTCCCGTCGCTTCAGAGAGATAGGCCTGGATACTGGGCAAATATAGCGATGACCAACCTAAGCCTTGACTCGCGAGTAAAAGAGACAACAACAGGTGGGGAGGAGCAAAAGCCAGACCTCGCTTGACAATCTCGAACATTTAGTCTCGCTGTTCAAATTTTGAGCAGCAAATCACAGCTGACAGTGATTCGTACTGACTGCCCACTATGACGTATTGCTGGTAGCAATGATAAGAAATACAACGCAAATTACAATACAGTGGGTGGAGATATTCCAAGAGGACGTCAGGAGTAAAATATCTGAGTTTTCACCCCTAGAGCTTACTACAATCTACAGTTGGTTACCCTTTATGTCCCGGAAGGACTCCCCGATAGGACGATATTAGACAGAACACTAGACACTAACACACTTGGCGGTCTCCTCTGATCTGGGGCCAGCAGAACGCGAGGTCCTCCACAACAACACGCACATGAGAGACAAGGCACAAACAACCATGCCAAGGCGGGACTCGAACCCGCGTCCCTTCGGACAGAAGCGCTCAGTCGGTACATGCCCTTAGCCACGTCTGTCATCCAGGTCGGCTATCTGATAATGTATTGATTTTTACTTTTTCTCCCTTACTTTGCAAGGAGATAATGTATTATAATCGCGCACCTGAAAAGCAGCGACTTTTCAACAGAAAAACTTATATTGCAGGGCCCTGGTGACAAAACTATGGATAAGTTTGTTCCTATATATACAGAAAATTACTTTCCTAGCACGATGTCTAGTCAGAATCCATGTTTGTTATTTTTGAATTTTAAATTTATGTACAGTCGCTTCAACAGCGTGGTTATTAGGGACCATTCTGTAAGATTACAAGGTTTTTCATTGCGTGGTTACATATTGTTTACACTTTTACATATATATTCAATGCATAGCTATTACAATGTACTATATTGG